TTTGGTTGATAGGCTAACATGCATACGTAGTTCTTCACAGGAAAAATCCTGGAAATAAGGAGTCTGGGAAGGAGGAATGCACGCCAGACATCTTCAACTTCAGTGTTGGCATCTTTTATGGCTTCTTCAATCGAAGCAGTAAACCAGGAAGGGCCATGAGTTCGTTTGGCGAAGGGAGACATAGCAGGAGTAAAGGCATGACGTTTCGAGAACATCAGAATATACTTGGTAAGGCTGGATTGAAGATTCATGTCTTCACTAGGAGTCAGTAGTAGAAGCCTAGTTCCTTCAATACTTCTTGCTACTATCATTGGATCCTCTTCATTCACATTTCCAGAAGTTTGAAGGGATGGTTCGAAGGTGGCAATCAGCCACAGTTGAAGAAGCCAGTAAGGTCCGGCTAAAAGGAGGTTACTACCAGCTTCATGTTCTTTAAGCTTGGTTACAGCGGCGCCTAGACTTTCATACAAACTTACTAGTAATAATTCACTAAGGCAAACCTTTTGACCAGAATGTAGTTGGTTAGCCAAAGTTAAAAATCTTCTAGCTACTTGGAGGGATTTGCAACAGAAAACAAATTTGGACAACCATAAAGCTAAGAAAGCTATATGTTCGATGTCGGAAACATCTTCGCCGTCCGTATGATAGAAATTCATATAGGCATTAAAGGAGGCGGTTTTGGTGTTGAAATCTATTGTGTTGTCAGAATGGAGAAAAGGGTCAAATGTTTCTCCAATAGGAGAAAGTCCTGTAATGGCTGCTACGTCGAACAGTGTAGGGGTTATCATCCCACAAGGAAGATGGAAAGTGTTATAAGTGATATCCCAAAAATAGTGAGACGCAAGAAGTAAAGGTTGGCAATAGCTAAAACCTAATTTCGACATCTGGATCAGGTCGAAAATGCCTAAATCTTTCCAAAATTGGCTTTTCTTTTTCTCTACTTTTCTTAGCCAGTTCAAATAAGACTTGTCCAAAGTGGGGCAAGATCGGAAAGGTCTGAAATTCTCAGTAATATAGTTCATTTGGGAAGGTTCCCTATTTACTTCAGGACTTTCTGTAGATATATTTTTAGGGGATTTGGAAGAATCATCGGAAGTGTTTCCCTTATTAGCTATGGGTTTAACAACATGATAAGTTGGAAAAACGTTTTTACAGTCTTCCAGATGTTCAGTAGAAACTAAAGGACCTAGGAATCCTAAGGTTTTACCAGATAATGAAGAAGAAATTAATACCTGGGAAGTAAAAATGGCTTTTTGTTCTTTGGACAACTTCGGAGGTGTGATAAATTCCTTATTCTCATGCGTGACTATTTTACTAGTTGGAATGGATTGAGAAGATGAACCTGCGGAAGCTCCAGAGTTTTTGATTTTGATTTTCATTAGTTGTTTATCATAGGCCATTGTTGAGATTCTTTAGGTCTTTCTGGAGATTTTCTGAGTTTTTTGGAAAGGAAAAGGTTTTACGGAGACTAAAAGGGTTTTGCTAAGAGAAGTTTGTAAAATTAAGAGAGAGGAAGGAGAAAAACCTTTTTTATGGTGAAGAGTGATTGTCCATCAAGGGACACGTGTTCACATCATGAAGGAGAAGGTGAGAAGTTTGTCAAGTCGCCTGACATTGGGAATGGTTATTCATCATTATAACTGCTGCACGCACGTCTTGAAGCGACGTTTTTGAAGAGATGTCATGATGATATCATTGAAATACGAAAAAGTTATCTTTGTTGGTCGAAATAACATAAATCACAAGAAATGCCTATTTCTGCACATATTCGAAACAGACATTTTTTGGGGGCAATTTATTAGCTGGGAATTTCGACCAGGTTAATAAAGGAACTTTTACATTTTAAAATTTCCGTAAGATGGCTGGAAAAAAAGCTTTAGTCGAAGTATATTACTAGATCTGCGTCGAAGATAGTTTGAAAAGACAAGTTTTTTATTTGGTCAAGAGGGCGCATTTTTGATGGCCACGTGAGAAAATCATTGTTGAAGGCTTGAGCGGGATTATTTGAAATTCGAAAGTAGTTTCTTTGGATAAAAAGAACGCGTGGAAACCTTAGAGTGTCGAAAGACATGCAAGAAGCAGCGTGGCCTTTTCTTAGAATAGTACCGTTATAGTTAGGACATTATAAATAGCTCCTTAGTGTTAAGGAAAAGGAGGTCAGAATACGTACAAAGTTACTCACAAAAATACTCAAGTACCAAGTTAAAGAGAAAGAGTTTCGTTGAGAATGTACGTATGACCTCACAATTTTATCTTTGAAATTGCACTTATCAACATAATTTTCTTTCAAACCATTCTTTTACATATTCCTGCAATTGTTCTTAAATTCTTTATGTTCTGTTAAATTCTTTATGTTCTGTCGAATTGTTTTACTTTCCTGCAAAGCTTTATAAATCAAATTCCTTTTAAAAGGATTTTTCTTTACAATCAAGTCATTTAATTCCAGTATTAAGTCTTTTTATTGTCAAATATTTACATTCAAACCTTTTTCGTTTAATTAAGACGCTTCGTCTAAACCTTTATATTTGAATTTAATTTCAAAAGTCTTGCATTCCAAGCCTTTACACAAACACATGCACAAGTATCACGTCATATTTTACATAAGCCCTCAAGAAAGTGTTATAAATTAACGTTAAGACAATGTCCTAGGATCAATCTAGTCAATCCTGCAAGTAATCATACATATCAAACTTGTTTGGAAGACTAGCGGTTGTTTTCGCCAGAAATCACTGCGAACACGCGCACCCCGCCGTCGGAGTTTTAGAGTATCCACTATTGAGGAGGTACATGCTCCTACGGAGGAGGTACAGACTCCTCATGAGGAGGTACATGCTCTTACGGAGGAGGTACGGACTCCTCATGAGGAGGTACATGTTCCTACTGAGGAGGTACAAGCTCTTGTTCCTATTGTGGAGCTGGTAGCTGAGGAGCATATTGTGGAGCCTATGGTGTAGGAGGCTGAGCAGGAGGTTGTTGCTGAGCGAGTTTATGAGGTGTCCCCCACTGATACAGACACCACGACTCGTGCATCTACAAAGTCATCAGTGTACTCTGATGGAGGTTTCCCTGGAGGATCTTCAGACAGGTCTGTGCTGATAGGATTTGCGGATCATGTCACTTATAGGATATGGCATGGCGAGGTATATATTTTTTGTTTTGTTTAATTGCATAATTTTTATTTTTGCATACAAGATTCGATGTATAAAAATTTATTTTTGCTTCTTCCAGGAGAGTCTGGTGTTGAAGGTCGCTTCTCATGGTTCAAAGTTGAAGAACTTCCCTGAGAACACGACACTTGACGTTGCTTCTCTTCCTGAGACCAGACAACTTGTTGGTTACCTCGGCTTGTTCCATGTATAATATAATTTATTTGATGGTTTTTATTAATTATTTGTGTGTATTTATTTGTTGGTTCTTATTTATGTAGTGTTGGATATACGAGCACTTTCTTCACATCTGTGAGCGGAAGATCCAACGTAAACAGGCATCTGAGCCACGTGCGAGGAGATGAAAGGTCAATCAAGCCATTCAAGGAGGTTTGATGGAGTATTAGAGGAGGCTTGGCGCTCCGACCTTGTATGATATCTTTTGGACACCATATACATCTTATATGTATATTTTGTGACAAACAAACTTTTTTTTATTGCATAATATTTTGGTGAAAACCTAGAACAGTACAACAAACATAAAATAGTACAACAAACATAATCAAAAACAACTAAACAAGAAAACCTAGGCACTGCCAGATGATTCTGGACGTTTCAGCATCTTCTTTATGTTATCGACGGATCTGCGCATCCAACTCGATCGGACCTTTAGTTATCCTACGGTGAAATGATTTCCACATGGCCTTCACATCTTCATCATTTTTCAACTCGATTAGGTTGTATTTCACTCTTCCATTTGTATTAATCCAATCCTCCCGAAACTCTGCCTTTGTCACCCTTCTGTTATTGGAATCAGGCAACAAATTATTCAACGTTACTTTCAAGGTGGCAAAGGATTCAGAGCCATCTGGAAGCTAGAATTCAACAGGAGGATTGTTGTCGTTGTAATACACTTCTGCCTTAATCAGAAATTGAGGAAGAGGCATTTTTTTGAGATGTATTTTCGCTATAACAAATGCCCCTATTTATACAAATGGTGATGCATTCTAGACCACGCAAATGTGTCGGTGCAATCAAAATCATCTAAATATGTCGGCAAAATCTCAAACGTTTAAAAAATTATGTTTTTATAACTATTGGAAATTTCAATTAATTTGAAATTTTCGGTACATCAGAAATTTCAAATATACTATCGAAAATTTACGATACCGGAAATTTTGTAAGGGTGTACCGGAAATTTGAGTGGTACCAGAAATTTCAATCCTTTTACTGAAAATTTCGTATGGAAATTGTGTTCAACTCATCCAAAAATAAAAGTGAAATAAAAAAAATTGGAGGATGACATGTTAATTTCTCACTTAGAATTTGAGTAAATCGGCGCCTACACCAAAATGTGGATCGAAGGTATTAGAATGGTAAACTGAGATACTTTTGATTCATGTTGGAAGAGCAAAATGTTAACTTAACATATTTTTTATGTGATACTAGCGTCCAGACGGGCACTCGCGTGTCCGTCTGTCCGCTTTTTATTGCAAATCCGTGAAAATATAAGAGATATTTCTTATTTAAATTTAACTTTAGAAAAACAGCATATGAAAGTTAATAGCTGAAAGTTATATAAGAGTTATATGGAAGTTAAGGACAGTTATTTCAGTGGAAGTTATTAGGTAAATTAAACAATATTGTAAGGGTAAAAATGTTAGAAAAATATATACCAAAATAAAGTATTTCCTTCATATATTATTATAGATACATCGAAAACTTAGGAGACAATTTTCAATCGACATGCATGAACATGAACATGAACATATATGCTCATGCAAGAATGACCTCTCACAACCTTGTCATGTGTTTATGCACTTGCTTCCATGAAGAGCACAAACTACAAGTTTCATGAGTACATTTTTGACATTTACAAAAATTTCAAGTATCACACAGTCTACAATTTATCATGTCAATGGATCTAATCTATGGTCAATAGTACAGACTATCCTAAAGTACAACCACCACTCTACTAGATCAAGAAAAATGTTGCCATTTAAATTGAACAACATTTTTAGCAATTGGACAAAAAAAAGTAACATTTTAATAAATATCAGATACAAAAAGAATTGTCTGGATACTTTAGATAGATCAATATTACAAACATGGACAGAGAAATATACTATCAACTCTGTCCTTCAAAGTTTAGTTTCTAAGCAAAAAACAAAACAGAAAAGATCAGCAATAAGCACAATAAAAGAAGCACAACACATAAAATGAAATTATTAGCAAGCATTTGCAAGAAGCCTAACATTTGGGATTTTCATATTCAACAAATTATTTTCATGATGAATCAAACAAGTAAATCAGTAAAAAAAACCAAAACTTCTAACTGAAAGAAAATATCACAATAGACCGAGCGTAGCCACAGGTTAAATGGAGGGAGATTTCAGTTACAATCCGATTCAAAATTGTAAGAGCCACAATTTGAATATTTGGTGCTCTATATTTGAAGTGCCTAATCAATACAGTGATGGATAATTTGAGCACCTGATGGTGGAAAGGTCGAGATATTGTTTGTCATCGACTTCATTCTGCTGAAGTTTGCAGCAAGATCGATACAGTGAGTAAAAGCAACCTGCAGAAAAACAAATGATAAATATTAATACTAAATAGAGTATGTAAGTATAAGATCAAAAGGAAGATAAAGGCAAAGAGAAAGTTACCTCAATCATTTGAATTTGCATCATTATCCCAAAGTCAAAACGATGATTGAAATAAGAGAGTAGATTCAGAAACACCTCCATGATTGAGGAAATCTTTTTGCTCAACTGAAGTACTTGAGTAATGATGGACTCAGAGGAAGGATCTCAACTTCTCGAATGTGAGAAATTTTCGGCCATTCTTTTCCGTATGGTTTTGCATAAATTTCACTCAATTGTTGGCAGTTATATATGCAAAGTTTCTGCAACGATACAAGGTTACCCATTGCTTCAGGTAGTGATGTCAAACCATTGCAATTGTGGATCTCAATAGTCAAGAGAGACGAGAGAGTCCCTATCCAGTCCGGTAACTTTTTGCCCCAAAATCCATCTATAACAAGCTTTTGAAGTGAGTGGTGTGGCTGCAAAGCTTCTAAAACCATCTCATCTTCCAACCATAACTTGTCCCTTACGGGCAGTGATGACCACGGATTGAAACTAATATAGTACGTCCACCGCAATTCCAATTGTTGAAGGTGTTGCTTCTCAATAAGTACTTTTGAATATTCAATCTCTGCAGCACTAATTTGAAGTGAATCCAACCCTTTGATTTCTAATCTCCCTCTAAGGTTGTTTAGGTCACGCAGCTCGTTAACACTTGTACTTCCTTTGCCACATACAAAAAGTGTTAGTGTTTGAAGATTGGTCAACTGTCCTAACCCTTGTGGCATACATGTCAATTTCACACAACCATTCAACTCAATATGCCTGAGACTTCTATTGAGATATTCTGGTAAAATTTTGAGCTCAGAACATTCAGAAAGTTTTAGAGTTTGCAAGTTCTGCAGGCTAGTAATTCCCGGCGGAAGATCTTTAAGTGCAATATTCTTTGATAGATCAATGTATCTTAAATGCTTCATCTCTCCAATACTATTTGGGATTGCAACAATATGCAACCCACAAAGTGTCAACACGCGTAAGAACTTTAGGCCTGAAAAGGAAAGAACATGTGTCTGGCGCAAATGATTGCTTGAATTCACTTGTGGAAGTAAATGAAATGTCCTTAACTTGTAGGAAGATGGCGATGGTGGTCCGAACTGTAATGCAGTACGAGAAGACAAATAACGCGTTCGGTTTACAATGTTTGCTTCTTCTCCTTCAGACATCGCATATTCATTCCCGACTATTAGCTGTGCCAGATCATGCATAAGGTCATGCATTTTACAAGTACTTACGCCACCACAATCGTCCATAGTGACATCTTGAAAGAAGGACATTGACAGCAAACTCATGAAGTACTCTTGACCAACATCTTCTACGCATCTAATATCATTTGATTGTTGAATGAACCCCTCAGCTACCCATAAATGAATGAGAGTCTTCTTTTCAAACACAAAACCTTTAGGAAACAATGAACAATAAGCAAAACATTTTTTTAGAAATGAGGGAAGATGATCATAACTCAGTCTAAGGATTGAAAAGATTTTGTCATTGTGTTGATCTATCTTTGAAAACTCAACATCCTTGAAATATAGCCAATCACTTCTGCCCAAATTTCGAGAAAACAAAAGGCTTCCAATAGTCCTTATAGCAAGAGGGATGCCAGCACATTTTTTAACAATGTCCCTTCCTATAGCTAACAATTCCAAATCATTTTGCTCTTTTGACTTGCCGAAAGCCACTCGAGAGAATAACTGCTGTGATTTTTGTGAATCCAAACCTTCTAAGAAAAGAGGCGGATGTGTGCCTGCTATTTTCGCCACAGTCTGACTACGCGTTGTAACAATTACCATGCTTCCTTTTCCTCCTTCCATGAACAAGCTCTTCAACTTAAGCCACAGTTCACGATCCTCGTTCCATATGTCATCTAACACAAGCAAAAACTTTTTCCCTCGAATTTTGTCTCTAAGTTGCTGTTGAACTTGCTCCATCAGACTATTCTTTTCATCCCCGATGCTCTCCCGAGCTATTTTCTTTATATCAAATTCATCAGAAACATACACCCACATTTTTAGCTCAAAATGCCTTTGAACATCATTATCATTGTAGACTAGTTGAGCAAGTGCGGTCTTACCTAATCCTCCAATCCCAACTATAGGAATTACAGAAACATTATCTGAAGCATTGATATCAAGTAGATAACGCTTTATACGTTTCTTTTCATCTTCTCTTCCAATAACTTCATTTTTACTCACAAAAGAGTAAGTTTGTCTTTGTTCCCTATATACAATTGGATTCTCCATAGGGCGGTCAGTTAGTTGCAGCGCATGCTTATTTTTAGCAATGTCATCTAGCCTCTTCTGGATTGCTTTCATTCGACGGCCTAATGTATAACTATAGGCAATTTTGTTTGGTTTTGAGAAGAAACATAGTACCTGTTTTACTTTTTTGTTTCTAGCCATCGCTTTTCCTTTCAAATCTTCAATGGAAAAATCATCTAGTAAATCATCTGCATCATAAAGTACATCTTTCAGCTCCTCCAACCAATTACTAACTTGATGATTATTGGCCTTGGTCTCTGCATCCAGGAGTACTGATTTTATCATAGATACTGTGGTCTTCATTTTTTCCATATCCTCTTCTAGATTCCAAATGATTCCAAGCTCTTTGTAAACTGAAGAGCCCAACTTTTCCAAGACTGTAACAGCAAGGGCTTCCATCCTTTGGCAAATTGAGATTAACACAAGCTTTAGTAAAGGTAGCAGGTTTCAATTATAATGAAGTTCAATGACAGCTACAAACGAAAAATACTAAGTTCAATGAGAGCGAGAGATTACCTGGTTTCGAAATCTGAATCAAGAAACTGAATCGAAATCTGAATCAAGAATCAGAATCAACAGTTATATTTGATGTCTCTGCAGAACTATCAAATGAATTGGTTTAACGAAACAATCAAGAATACTGAAAAGTTGAGTAGCGTGAGCAGAGAGATAAAGTGAAGTCAACTTGGGTAATACGGAAAGAAGCAAGAAATTTCCACAAACATCTAACGCGTTATTTTAATGACTTCTAGACAACTTTTGAAATAAGTTTGCAGTTAATTAATGAGCTTATTTTAGGAAAGGAATGTCAAAAGTGAAGGTTATTAAGTCAAAATGACTTGCTTAAAAATGGATACTCAAAAATTTTCAAGTTAATGATCAATTTTTTTATATAATTTATCTAATTTGTTTATAAGTTTTTAAAAATTTATCTTCTACTGGGTTTTTTACGTAATTTTTTACTATTATATTATATGGTGTGTTTCATTCGAGAAAGAAATTTATAATAAATTGGTGAGATGAAGTCTAAGAACAGTCGAGTAAGCTTTGGATACGATAGATATTAGAAATATAATTTAGTTAATGTCTATAATTCCCAATGTTTATTTTTTAATAGGGCCTTTTGACATTTTCAATTTTTAGTATAATTATGCTACCTAGGCTATCAATATTGTAACTCATTCATTCCTCTATTTGATATACAATAGTAGTCATCTTTGTTATCATTCATTGTTCATTCTTCTTCTCCCTTTCATTACCTTGCACCAACAAATTGGTATCAAGAGCATTTGATTCTGTTTTCCTGGAAAATACGAGTGATTGTGAGTTGTGTGTTTGATTTTGGTTCATTTTTTATTTATTTTTTAAATCTTGAACAAAGATCTGAACAAAATCTGATTCTGTGGGTTGGAAAACAGTGTGTTTGAAGATCTGAAAAATCTGTGCAAGGTTTAAAATGAGTGGAGACAGTAGTTTGAACACCAAACTTCCAGTTTTTAATGGTAAAAACTGGAACATATGGATGATACAAATGTGTGTGTTGTTTGGTGCATAAGATGTTCTGGATCTGGTTACAGATGGTTATGTACCAGCTACAGCAGATGCAACTGAAGAACAGAGAACTGCTGAGAGGATGATGAGGAAGAGGGACCAGAAAGCTCTGTTCTATATCCATCAGTGTGTGGATGAAAGTGTGTTCGAGAAGATTGTTGATTCAACAACGTCAAAAGGGGCGTGGGATTTACTACTGAGATGTTACGGTGGTGACGCATCAATAAAGAAGGTGAAGCTTCAATCCCTATGAAAGCAATATGAGAATCTGAACATGAAGAGCAATGAGAAAGTTTCTGAATATATCTCCAGAGTGATTCTGATCACTAATGAGATGAAGGCGTGTGGAGAAACTCTGTCTGAACAGGTAATCATCGAGAAGATTCTGAAGTCGCTTACTCCTCAGTTTGATGACATTGTTGTTTCTATTGAACATTCTAAAGATCTGGAAACCATGAGAATAGAAGAATTGCAAAGCAGCTTAGAAGCACATGAGTTACGTCTGTCTGAGAGAACTTCTGAGAGGGAAGCTGAGCAATCTCTGAAGGCTTCTTTTGTCAAGAAAGACCAGAAGCAGAATAAACATGGTGATAAATTCCAGAAGTCAGAAGCCTCAACTTCTGATGATAAGAAATATCATAAAGGAAGGGAAAGGTATGACAAAATGAAGGTTCAATGTTACTCTTGTAAACAATTTGGCCATTTTGCTAGAGATTATAGGTCAAACAAGGAAAGGAAATTAGAAGAAGCATATATGGCTAAGAGAAACTCTGATGATGAACCTGTACTACTAATGGCTTCTGATTCTGATGGAAAATGCTCAGAAGATAGGTGGTATATGGACACTGGCTGTTCAAATAATTTAACTGAAAACAAACAATGGCTGACAGACTTTGACTCCAAAAGGAGAACAAAGATCAGATGTGCTAACGATAAGTATCTTAATGCAGAAGGTATTGTAGATGTCAGAGTTAGAGTGAAGAATGGGAAAGACATTCTGATCAAAGACGTTTGGTATATTCCTGGTATTAGAAGCAATCTGATGAGCGTAGTTCAACTGATTGAGAAAGGTTTCTCAGTTGTTATGAAAAACAATCTTCTGACGCTGTATGATTCCAATCAGAGGTTGATTATGAAGTCTGAACAAGGAGGCAACATAACATTCAAGGTAAATGTAGAAACAGCTGAAGCAACGTGTCTTAGTGCAGAAGGCGCTGAAGGTAACAGTAAGTCGTGGCGTAAGAGGTTGGAGCATTTGAACTATAGAAGCTTAGGGCATCTATGTTCTAAGAAGCTTGTACATGGTATTTCAAAGATTGTGAATCCTGAGAAGTCATGTGAGATATGCATGAAAGGCAAGCAACCTAGATTGCCATTTACATCAGAAGTAGCCCCCATTGCGAAGCATGCTCTAGGAGTAGTACATTCTGATGTGTGTGAACCATTTCCAATACCTTCACTTGGAGGAAACAATTATTTTGTGTCTTTTGTGGATGAGTTTACAAGAATGACATGGGTAACACTCATCAAGTTCAAGCATGAAGTGTTTACTGAGTTCGAGAAATTCAAAGTGAAGGCTGGGAAGCAGAGTGGTCAAAAGTTAAAAATTCTGAGAATGGATGGTGGAGGTGAGTATAACTCTACAGTATTTCAGAAGTTATGTGAGGAGAGTGGAATAGAACATGAGGTTACTGCTCCATATACTCCTCAGCACAACGGTCTTGCTGAAAGAAGAAACGGAACTTTGCTTGATATGACCCGAAGCATGCTGAAAGAGAAAAAGCTACCTCACGTGCTATGGGGAGAAGCTGTTGCCACATCAACATATATTTTGAACAGGTGTCTAAAAAAGAAACTGAAGGAAGTTGTTCCTTTAGAAATGGACTGGAGATAAGCAGAGTGTCAGTCATCTGAAGGTGTTTGGCTCTGTCTGTTACAAACACGTTCCAGAAGCTAGAAGACAAAAACTGGACGATAGAAGCAAAGTAATGTTGCTGGTGGGGTACCACAGTACATGTGCGTATAAGCTTTATTGTCCAGAAACTAATAAAGTTGAAGTCAGCAGAGACGTTGTGGTGAAAGAGTCTGAAGTATGGGATTGGAAAAAATCTCAATCAGATTCTGGTGCAGTGCCAACACCAGAGTTATCCTTTGAAGATGTTTTAGAAAGTTCAGAAGATGAATCTGATTCTGAAGATCCTGAAGATTCTGAAGATGAGTCAGAAGAAGATTCTAGCAATGGATCTGATTTTGATCCAGATGCTGATGATGATCCAGAATCTGGTGGTGATCATAGTTCTGGAAGGGAAAACTTTGAAGGTGGTAACTCTGAAAGTAGTAGTTCTAGTGCAGCTTCAGAACAAGCTCAAAGACTACAGAGAGTCAGACAAAAACCAAGAAGGTTTGCAGATTTTGACATGTTGCATGATAATGAAGTTGACTCTGAAGGAGAAGTCGTTCAGTGTGCCATGTTAGTAGATTCTGAACCAGTGGGCATTGAATAAGCTCTCAAGAAGAAAGAATGGCTTAATGCCATGAATGAAGAACTTGAGGCAATAGAAAGGAAAAAAACTTGGAAATTGACTAAACTTCTAGATAAGAAAAAAGCCATCAGCGTCAGATGGGTTTTTAAGTTGAAACTTAAGCCAGATGGTTCAATTGGCAAGCACAAAGCTAGACTAGTAGCTAGAGGTTTTCTTCAGAAACCTGGGCTAGATTACTTTGAGGTGTTCGCGCCCGTATCTAGGAATGAAAAAATCAGACTGGTGATTGCTTTAGCTGCAAATAGAAATTGGCCTTTAATGCATCTGGATGTGAAGTCTGCATTTCTGAACGGTCCATTACAGGAAGAAGTTTATGTGTCACAACCTCCTGGATTTGTGAAAAAGAATCAGGAAGGGATGGAATACAGGTTGAATAAAGCTCTGTATGGACTGAAGCAAGCGCCTAGAGCTTGGAATCTGAAAATTGATTCATTTTTCAAGAAGCAGAGGTTTCAAAAATGTGAGATGGAATATGGAGTTTATGTACAACACTCTGATAACAATATGATTCTGGTGTGTCTCTATGTTGATGACATTTTTCTAACAGGTAGCTGTCCAGAAGATATAAAGAAGTTCAAAGAAGTTCTGTTGAATGAGTTCGAGATGACAGATCTAGGAAAAATGACATATTTCCTAGGGATGGAGATTCTGTACTCGAAGAAGGGTATCATTCTGCATTAGTTAAAGTACGAACTAGAACTTTTGGAGAGATTTAAGCTGCAGAACTGCAAAGTTGCTGTGACATCATTAGAAACCAATAAAAAATGGATTATGACTATGATGGTGATTCTGTTGATTCTACAACCTTCAAACAGTTGGTTGGTTCTCTAAGGTATTTATGTAATACTAGACCTGACATTTGTTATGCAGTTGGATTAGTTAGCAGATTCATGAGTAATCCAAAGTGGTCTCATTTCCAAGCTGCTGTCAGAATTCTGAGATATATCAAGGGAACCCTGAGATATGGAGTGATATTTCCTTCTGAAAGAAAGACAGAATCAGAATTAGTAAGTTATTCTGATTGTGACTGGTGCGGAGACAGAGTGGACATGAGAAGTACTTCTGGATACTTGTTTAAATTTCTGGGATGTCCCATTTCCTGGAGTTCTAAGAAACAGCCTGTCGTGGCTTTGTCAACATGTGAAGCTGAGTATATCGCAGGTGTTGTAGTTGCTTGTCAAGCTGTTTGGCTTCTAAATCTCCTGCATGATTTGAAGGTTGAATTTGAGGAACCTTTGAAGATGATGATTGATAATAAGTCTGCAATTGATCTTTCCAAGAATCCAGTGCTACATGGAAGAAGCAAGCACATTGAGACGAAGTATCACTTTCTCAGAAGTTAAGTGCAGAAAGGAGTGTTAGAAGTTCTGCACTATAGCACTCAGAAATATCTTGCAGATCTTCTGACAAAAGCAGTTAAAACAGATCAATTTCTTTGCTTGAACAAATTCAAAGGCAAGTTCGACAAGACTCAGAGAAAGAAGTATTGGTCTAAACCTCACAAACATCAAGTCGAAGATGGAGCTTCTAAATCCTTGAATGGAGGAGGAGGAAATTATCGAAAGGCCAAAGAAGATAAAAAAAGTGTGCAGTGCTATAACTATGAAAAGTGGGGTCACGTAGCCAAGAATTGTTGGTACAGAAAAGACAAGGGATCGACAATAAAGGACAAAGGAGCGAACCTTGCATGCCAAGATTCAGATGATTCTGAAGGTGGTATGGTGGTTATGGCTGCAGTTGTAGATAACCATGTCGACAGCTGAAAAACGGTCATGACCTCCTTGAAGGAATTCCATGGCACGATCTTGATTATGCTGATCAAGAATACTTTTAGCATTATCATATATACAAGGATTGACAGGAGCAATAGAATTGAGTTCATCCCAAAGAGATTTGAGTTGAGTGAAATAAAGAGAGACAAACATGCCTTCTTATTTGAGGGCAGAAATTCACTATTTCAATTGATATGTTTTATGAGCATTTGATTGAGAGAATCAATATTTTAGATCGGACCAGGTTTGTGCTGCAGTTTCAGCATACAAACTATTAGGATGAACATTGGTTGAAACTGGGTTAAGAATCCACCTTGCAACCAGGTCGTTGCAACGTTTCCATTTAGGAATGTCTTCTTTCTTCTTCGGACTGGTAAGTGGCCCGTCAACAAAACCTAATTTATTTTTGGCACGAAGTGCAATTGTTACTGCGCGACTCCATGAACCATAGTTATCACCAATAAGTAAATGGGTAACAAGGACAGTTGAAGGATTATCTAAATGGTGAATAACACAAAAAGATTTGTGTTTGAGGTTGTTGTGAAGTGATCAGTGATGGGCGGATTTTCAGAAGAAGGAATAAAAATTGATGGGGTGAGATATCAAACATGGTGACAGTGAAAACAAGGGATTCGATGAAGAAGAAAAGAAGCAAAATGATGGATATTAACCAGGAAAAAAATATTTATACCATATAAGAAATATAATGTTATGTTTTTTAATTCATGTAATTTTCTTACATACATACATGATTTCATGAGATATAGATGTAATACTGTATAAACTAAAAATGAATACAATGATATATGCATTAAAACTCTAGCCTATATTTTTCCTATAATAAAAACCTATTAATAAAATTGATAACAATTTCTATATGAAGAGATACAATTGATAAGTTTTTCCTTGTTGTACTTTATATGCGTTAATTGTATAATATATTTCTAACATCCTTATCTTGGTGCTATGTTACGATAAACTAGATTGCATCAGACATGATATGATCGTGGAAATTCGTGAGAATCAATAGCTAATTTCCATAGACAGTGCCATTGTTCCGGATCAGAACTATAATTATACTTAGATTATAATGTTAGACTTGTGATGTGGTGTTGCAAGTCTCTGATGTGGTGGATTACGAAGGTGAGTCTGCAAAGTTAGTATTCTAACACCCAAGTTAGTTAAGGAGTTCAAAAAAGAGGTCGGGTGAAGTATGAAAAGGATGAATGCACCTTATGCCTTATGCACATAGATTTATTTATATTCTTAGACCAAGATGGTTGTTGGACCTTCTCTAGAGTAATACATGAGTCTCCCCTTATTAGAATTTTATCCAACTAATAATAATAATATTAAATTACAAACGAAGAACAAACAATAACAAATAAAATAATGTTACCTGGAAGAAAGATACTTCATAAATAGATCTTAGTCTTAAATGCACTTTTGTTCTCTTTTTTGATGTTTTTAAATTTTTAGTCCCCCATTGGTAAAATACTTTTTTTCGTCCCTTAACTCTACCTCAGGTTCCAGTTTGGTCGCTTAACTTTAATAAGTGGCATGTTGGTCCTTTAACTTTCAAAATGGCGCCATATGACTCCTCTCCGTCAATTACCCTCCAACGTTTGTTTATGTGTGAAGACTTGGCAGCTGAGTTGGCAAGACAACTTCATCTTCTCTATTTACACAACGTGTTTGTGCTCACGTGGTTCTACATTCCCAAATTAGACCTAGGAAAAATTGGAATTAGAGATTCATCTTTGCAACTTGGAATTAGGGTTTAGGCAAGCATGAAATCAGGTGAATCTTTATCCTTGTTGAAACAGAAAAACTCAAAAAGTAGGGATTCAAACATATACAGTAGCTCACGATGGAAGCCCATATGTCATTTTGGAGACATGGTTGTTCTTCAAAGGGCAACATCCGTTAAGAATTTTGGAAAGCATTTTTGGGGTTGTCCAAATTATAAAGTATGCAAATAATTTCAGTTTTATTTTTGTTTGAGTTGGATTTTTGTGTGTATATTTGAACTTCAGTCCATGAAAATTTCAGAGATCAATGCAAGCTAGGTGTGGTTACTTTGTTGGTTTTTATGAGGATGTGAGAGATGAGAATGAGCAATTTTGGATGGATATGTTGGAAAAGGTATCAAAGGAACTTGCTAAAGCAAAAAAGGATATTGAAAAAGTCACAATGGTGAATGAAGAATTAGGGAAACAACTGATGAATATTGAAAGTGAAATGAAGAATATCATGAAGTGGAAAAAACTTTGGAATTTGATCCACGGAGAAGGTTAGGTATATGTAGATGATATGATTTCCAAATCTCATACAGAGGAGGAACACATCATTCATTTACAAAAGTTATTCGAGCATCTGTGAAAGTTCAAATTGAGGTTGAATCTGAACAAGTATAGATTTGGTGTCAGGTTAGGCAAGTTATTGGGTTTTATTGTAAGTTAGTGTGGTATTGAGGTAGATCCCGATAAGGTAAAGGTCATACAAGAAATGCCAGCTCCAAGAACAGAAAAAAGAGGTTTGTGGTTTCTTAGGACGATTGAACTATATTTCGAGGTTCATATTGCACCTAACTGCTACGTGCAAGCCTATATTCAAATTAATTCGAAAAAATCAGACAATGGTGTGGAACGATGATTGTCAAACAACCTCCGAGACAATAAAGTGATATTTACAAGAGACACCAATCTTGCGCCACAAGTTCCTAGAAGACCGCTCATCATGTACTTAACAGTGCTTGAATGGTCAATGGGACGTGTGTTGTACCCCAAAATTTGCCCTCCCATTTTTCATAAAAGACACAACCCTAGGGTCTCTCAGATATTCAAGTTGGCTCAGGAATCGATCAGATAGATTTTCTTCTGTGGCAGTAAACCAGCAACTAGGGTTTTTCTTGCAATTCTCAAAAGAAAATGAATTCTCAAAAAGATTCAATTGGTTTTCACAGATCTTCATCCTTTCTCAAGTTTATTGAAAAGACAGTGTTTGTTCTCAAGGCATGGTTGTTTGGGACAAAAGACTAAGATTGTCATTTGGGACACTCATGATTGTTTGATCCAGGTTAACCAAATGATTTATGTCTTTTAAAACATTTTCTTGGTTAAGAAATGGAATAGTGTTTGTTTGGAATGCAGTTGCAAGATTACAGAATTTATTGGAATTTAAATTATCAGATTGGAGCATTTTGTTTCAATTATCTTGATTGGGAATCTGTAAGAATCAGTTAGGATGCAAAGAGAAAATTACAAGTTATTGACAGTAAAGGGTTTCAATGGACACCAGAATATCTCATAAGACTTTCTCCATTTATTTCAAAAGTTGTTACAAAACAATTTATTATTTAAATACTTTAGATTTTACAACTTATTGTATTTAAAAGATAAATTAGTACAATTGTTGGATACAATACAAGAGTGTTTTTCTAAATTACAAAGAAAATCTAAATGGATCTATGCCTAAGGTTGACTGAAGTTCCCCTGCTTCCATGCTTGCCATAGAGTTTCTTGCTTCCTCTGCTTTGTCACATCCAATTATGCTCACATGAAAACAAAAGACATAAAAATAGTCAGTACAATTTATTTGGGCATGAGCAAGAATTTTCAAAAGAAAAAGTGTTATTCATCATTAAAGTTTGCAAATTGGAATCAGAGGGCCATTTTAATTCATCATAATTTATTTCCTCTATTTGCAAATCACAAGAAGATTTTTCTTCTTGGTTCACAAAAAGAAGAAACAAAAATACCACAAATCTGTCCAAACAAGAAATGCAACAAATTTATCCAAACAAACAGAATACTACAAACTGAATGCAAGCAAGCTGCGCAAGCTAGGCAAAAAACAGCAGCGCAAATCAAATTGCCCAAACAGCATCACCAAACAGAAGGCGCAAACTGAGCCAAACAAAATTGCCCAAACAGCAAAAACAAACAAAAGTATAGCAATATAATAAACTAAGTCAAACAAGCAAGAAACTTGTTCAAGAAGCCAATTCATCATTTTCCATTTTATTGCAAACTTTTCAGAAAAAGGCAAAAGAGCAATTGACTTTCTTAGTGTCATTGAGAGAGAAGAGAGGAAATAAGTCACCTATGGATGCACAACCCTGCTGCCTTGGCTGTCACAATTGCATAGAAGTTGCTAGAAAACAAAAACTGCAACAAAAAGGGCATAAGAACAATATGCCAAAATATTCAAAATCTGATGGTTTTCCCGCCATTTTGAATAGGAATTCAACTAAAGCAACATCAATATAACAATAAAAACTCTCAAGCAGATGAGGAGATAGAAAAACATTTTATCAAAGTCCAAAAACTATTAAAGTCTCCAACAACCAAAAACCTGTAAAACTCTCAAGCAAAAAACCCAAATCTGAACCAATATCCCAAGCCATCCTAAAACAGCAAGAACCAAATCAACAACTGTTGTACCCCAAAATTTGCCCTCCCATATTCTTCAAGACTTGTCAAGATCAAGCTCCAAAAGATTCAAAATCTCTCAAGGGTTGCACAATCCAATTGCCTCCTAACACAGTCAAAATTAGGGTTTTGGTTCTGGCAAAGAAATTAAGGTTTCCAAGGGTCCAAACAAGTCCCAAATGCCTATATACATTGTCAAGCATTCATATGTCAAGTTTCAAGACTCACAGCATCAAATTGCACAGTCAAAAACCCTAATTGCTCCACAGTCAACTGTAGAGGCAAAATGGTCATTTGACAGTCAAAAGTCAAAATTTTTGGTCAACATCTTATTTTTAAGCCACAAACATCATTTGATCAATTCTTGATCATGATTCTCAAAAAATGGCTCAAAAAGTCTCAAGATGCAAAAGTTTCTATTTTTGGACAGCTGAAAAAGTCAACTGCAAATTGACCAGGGCATAACTTCCTCATGGTTTATCAGAAAAATCCCATCCAATGCTCATTTTGAAGGGGATGACATTTCCTACAACTCATCTTCACACTCCAAGTCCAGGAAATGCTCTCACAAAAAGTTATCAATTTCAACATTATAGGTCATTTTCAAAAGTCAACAAAAAGGCACTTTAAGTCAAAGACCATAACTTGAGATTGGTAAATCAAAATGACATGGGACCAAAGACATTTGTTAGAGGACTTCAAGACCTTTCCAAAATGTCC